TGCATATATCTGCTTGGGTGGCAGTTATGGTTTCTTTAGGGTAAATTCCCAGGAGTGGAATTGCTGTGTCAATGTCCTCTTTCTTTTTTGCAGACATGTCCTTCGATAACTCCTTGTTTGCTATCTCCATGGTGAGTGATTCTTCATGGGCCCATTTTCCTGTTGACTGTGCTAACTGTGGAAGGGCAGGGATGGCCACTAGGGTGGGTCGGCCAGGTCTCTCTGAGCTCTGGTGGCTGGGAGGAGCCTGGAGACACTGAAGAAGGACGTGTTTATGAGTTGAGGGTTGGCTCTGCAGAGTTCTGGCAGGAGAGGCTTGGAGACGTCATGTTGGCCAAACCTTGATGTCACAATGGGCAGGCCCCTGCGAGTCCCTGGCTATTGCTGTCAGTGTTGCCTTTACTTATAGTCAGGGCTGGGGTCACGGGCCAGCCCTCCAGGATGGTGGCAGAAGAGGTGGAGGGACCTGGTCACCTCTTTGGAGTCCTGGAGCCTTGTGGCAATCTGATGCACACTGTTGTCCTCTCCTGCTGCAAGAGCCCACTTTGTGCCCACTTTCATCTTAAATGACCTGGTTGTGTTTCCCTTTCCAAGGAAAGGATCTCTTAGTGAATGGTGTAGCTTCCCAGGTGACACAGTGCCAAGCTTCGGATTTGAACCATGGGATTCTTCTACATAGCTGCGTCTTGGGGTGGCTGTGGCACGTGCTTCATTTTTTGAGGAGTAGAGGTCAAAGATATCTGACCCATGAATTCCATAGATCAAGGAAATGTTCTATCAGTTCCTCCCCACCTAGAAGAGGGTACAGGTCTGGGGTGCAAGTGACCCCACCAGAGGTGGCCTCAGAGGACCCATCTGGACAGGTAGGGAGTCTGGAGCTGAGTGAGTTGGCTTGATTGGCTGCTGTCTGTATTATCCACTATGACCATGACAGAAATACCACAACTGAGTAGTTTAAAAACTAGAAATGTATTTTTTCTCAGTTTGCTGTTATGCTTTCAAACGAGTTAAAACGTAAAGCGTCCCTGTGAAGAATAGTTTGGAATCTCGCTCATCCTTTTCCGGCCTTGGGATCTGCAGCATGCTTGAGCTGCCTGGATTTCTTCTTCGTTGTGGTTTTTGGGGGTGTATGTGTGTGTGCGTTTGGGCTGTGTGTGCGCATGCATGCGCGTGTGTTTTGAAGGAAATTATGCAAAGAGATTTTTCATTCACTTATACAGATTTAGCCCCTGCCCACTGTTATAATGACGGTGTCAGTCCATCTCATTGAGCGTCCTCTCTCTCACTGACCCTCCACTTTTCCCAGCACGGTATCTTTTTCCAAGGATGGCTCCCCCTCAACATGCCCTAAGTCTATAAGATGAAGTTGCCCCATCCTTACCTCCAAGGAGCCCCCTAACTGCACTTCCCTCTGATAGTCCTTGAGATACTCTCGGTCAACCAAACGCAAAGGCCTCAGTTCTGCAAGGCTTCCTCACCACCCACCATTTCAGGTGCAAACTCAAGTTTGAACCCGTAAGTTGGAACTGAATCATAGCTGACCCGCCCAGCAGGTTTTCAGAGGCTGCAAATGGCACAGGAGGAGACTGCCCGTCCTTCTGCAGAGCAGCTGGTGGATTCGAACCTCATATCTGGGTTGGCAGTACACGTCCCTGTCTGTTTGGGTAGTGGTGGTGGTGACCCGCAGTGACTCTATGTACAGCAGCTCTGCAGCCTGCCCTGTCCTGAGCCGGTCTCACTGATCCCAACATACCAACCCCCGTTGCTCCAGTTACTGTATCAATCCTACTCATCTGGGGTCTTCATCTCCTGTGCCATCCCTCCACCCTTCTGAAGCTCAACTTTAAGAAGACAAAGATTCTCACCATGGGGCCGGTTGGCAGCACCATGATAGATGGAGAAGAAACTGAGGTTGTTAACACTTTCAGCTTGCTTGGCTCCACAATTAACACTCTTGACACCATCAGTCAGGAAGTCAAAAGTTGAATCGCATTGGGAAAATCTGATGTCACGATCTCTCCAGAGCACTGAGAAGAAACGATGTCAGTCTAGAAACTAAGATGCACCTAAGCCAGGCCATGGTCTTCACCATTACTTGCTATGCATCAGACAGAAGGACAATGACTAAAGAGGACAAAAGAAGAATCGATGCCTTTGAGTTGTGATGCTCAAGAAGAGTCTTGAACACACCATGGACCAACCGCCAAGGAAACAAATAAGTCTGTTTTGGAGAGTTTCCAACTTTCTCCTTGGAAGGTTGGGTTGTTTTTTTCTTTCTTTTTTTATTGTATTTTTTTTTTAATTTTTATTTTGTGTGCGTGTACCGTCAAATCAGATCTGACTGGTACAGGAGGATATTGCGCCTCCTTCTCCGGCAGAGCATCTGGTGGATTCGA